CACTGAATCAACCTCGAGATCAGCACCCGAACCACCGGAGATACACGCCCTGTACTAAACCAACCTAGATACTAATTCGTTCGTTTAATTGCTAATTATCTTGATCTTGATATTTTGCTTATTGATTTCAAAATATTTTGCGTAATCCGGTACAGAATTTTATTATTGCATAATAGTAACAAAAATGATAATAATGATATAAATCATACTGTAATTTTCATAAAATGATTTACAGGTATTGTAATATAAACATTTTGCTAATCTTGTTAAGTATTTGGGTAGGTATCAGGGTTAATTCAGTGTATCCCTAATTATTTTGTCTTACTTTAAGTCTGCACTTACTTTGAAGTTGTTAGCCTTTAAACCAGACTAAATTAAAAAGGCTAGACTCAGAGCAAAAATCTCCTAGATATTTGTGTTACTACCGTATTTGAAACAGTAATTAATAATTTAACAATAATTATTTTGAAAACTAAAATCAAAACATTTTGACGCAAATTTTAATATATAATTTCTTAATCATAATCAAAATATTTATATCAAATGTAAGAAAATAAGGTCAACAATAAGTTTTAACTTTAAAATGTTACTACTTTTTCTATGTTATAACTTATAATCTTAAAGATTTAAAAATAAATATAGTTTTATGTTGCTTAAGGCTTAATTGAAATAACAGTAGTTTGTTTGTTATTGATAACATAATTGTTAAACTTTCTAGAAATTAATCCAAGTTTTACTAATTTTTCTAGAAATTAAAAGATATGTAAAATAAAATAATATGGCATTTCATTAAATATTAAACCTTAGATTGGATCTTATATTAGATCTTGATGTCAGTTGTACAGTATTTTCTGCAAGTTAATTTAACTAACAGTTTAAGAGTGGGATTAACACATTTACCACAAAATTAATTTTAATAAACTAAAATGATACCTATATACTTGAACATTAAATACAAAGCAATCATCATAAGCTTCAAGGCACAGACTGAAATAAAAAAGAAATTTTTGAATATTAAATAGTGTATCAATAGTGCATGCATTATAGTATACAGTAAATACTAATAAAATCATTACAATTTTAAGTTTTAAAATTATATTAATAAGTTTTATTTGATGTTTTAATGTAATTAATTACTTTTGTATAATTATCATAATTTGAAATAAACATTTAGATTTAAATACTGCTATATTTTATTTTAAAAATTATCTCAATATTTTTCAATAATCTAGATAAAATAGTATTCAATTAGTTTGTTATTTTGTTATTGATTTTAACTGATTTGATGAATATTTAACAATTTTCCCCACCCTTAATTTGGTGAACACAATAGAAATTTACGCAAAACTTGTTTGATTTCTAGCATTGCATTTGTAAAATCAGCAAATTTTGTATTTGAAAATGACCGCATTATGCCAATATACTTATTTTTGTTTCGCAACATAATACCATATAATTACGCACAGGTTTTTGACCAGGTCTCGCAAACTCTTAGACTAAAATCATTTCATTAAAATCTAATCATTCATTTGACGTTTCAAACTCAAGTCTTAAGTATTAAATATATTTCTATTTATAATATTTGTAACAACGACTCCGAGCATTGGTTTGGCCCACAATCAAGACTTTTTAATTAACACGAAAGTATTATTGATGATTTTAATTTAACTATTTTCAAAAGTTTTAGTTAGCAAACTTTATTGTAAGCCGATTAAATCTGTCGATGTTTTCTATTGGACAAAAATTTACAATTTCAATTATATTAAACCCGACTATATTAATATTGTTTTATGTATATTTCGCAACATTTCTGTTATATGTCTATGTTTTCAATAAAATTAAGTTTTCATTTAGAAATTGATAAAATTTTTGTGTTCATATTGTCATCTAATTTACAGCTTTAATTCGTTGGTTGCAAATATTGGTATGTTCAATTATTATTTAAATATGAAATGTTATTTTTAAATTTTAATAACATTTTATTATCAATGTTTATCCTAATTTTTAATATTAGCATTAATTTAAATATAAATTCTGCTTTTATTGAATCTATAATAGATATAACAATTACAGTATACCAATAAATTATT